TGGCACTAAAAAACAATCCCGTTCATTAGTCCACGTCTATGGGCCCCTCTTATATTACTATTTCTTTCTTTTTTGATTTTTTATTCACACAAAAAATAGAAGATTTACTGTTATGCAGGCTACTACATTATTGTAAAAATAGTATAAATAATATCGGTGGACCCAGTGAAAGACTATTAGACTCCCCATTGAACGTGTTTTGGGAAACGTGTGGTGTGATTTGCTTACTCTTAAACATTGGTAAAATCGAGTATTTCTGCTACTTTGAGCTCAATTTCAAGGTCTTTTCACGTGAAACTAATCAAAATCGTTTCTGTTCTGTAATATGTTTTCCATTCTATCAAGTGAGACCAAGAAAACAAGAATACAACCATAAATACTATGGGAAAATACACCTCAAAGTTGGCGTTTTAATCCAAAAACAGGGTCGGAGTTTTTTCTCTCATGCACTGCGTGCTGCAGGATTTTTTTTTAGTACAGTGCACACTGACCACACAGACCCATTCTCTCACAGTGGGCCTACCAGCTTTCTCCTGCTTGATTTGAAGCCGCTATAATTTACACTATAAGTACTTTAAACGTCCGAATCAGTGGCACGTAAGACTGTATATACGTATGACCAAACCATGAAAGGGTAAAGTACAGTTATTGGTGCTTAACCCTTAACTGTCCAAACGTAGAATCACATTTGCAAGCGTAGCGCTCCAAACGTAGATCAATGTTTTATTTTTCATTTCTTCAAATTTGGCACAATAGGCTTGTCGCGTAGGCATGAAGGAATGGGTCTGTGCAGTCATTGTGCGCAGTATTAAAAAAATCTGGGAACACTTAGTACCTTGTGGGAGCACCAGTTCAATTGAGCACCAGTTAGAGCAAATAGCGTGGCAAACACCAGGGATTCACTGATGCCATGTCGCATTAACACTCCCATTTTAAGAAGAAAATAAAATTAGGTTAGTTAAATACATGAGTGAGTGTGGGTGGGTGAGAGTTGGACCTGACTAGCTTGAGCTACTAGGTCTGATGTTGTGCTCCTTCCTTCAATGGATATGACCTGACTAGGTGGGTCATTGGTCTAAGCTGGGGGGGTGACATGGACCTGCCTTGCTTGGGCCAGTAGGCCTGCTGCAGTGTTCCTTCTTTCTTATGTTCTTATGTATTCCGCAGGCTGGTGGCTGTCTATATCTCTGTCTATCTATATCTGTCTCATATGTACACATAAGTACAGTTATTATCCATAGTGTAAATTACCTAGGATAACCCAAAAATTCCAGGCAAAGAAAGACAGATAGATAAATAGATAGACAGACAAACATGTTTGTGTGTATCATTGAAAACAAGTAAAGCCAGGGTTCCCCAAGCACCCATTTATCAAATGTCACTGAACTGTCAACAGTTGTCATAACACCATTCTTCAAGGAGTTTGATATATGTATACTCCAGGCAGACAGAAAGACAGATATATGTATACTCCAGGCAGACAGAAAGACAGATAAGCAGAGACAGACAGGCAGGCAGACACAGACAGGTATATAGACAGACAGATATATAGACAGACACAGATATATAGACACACACACACACACAGATATATAGACAGACACACATGTTTGTGTGTAAAGGTGATAACAAATATAGCGAGGGTTTGCTAAATACATGAGTGAGTGTGGGTGGGTGTGAGTTGGATCTGACTAGCTTGTACTAACTAGTCTGATGTCGTGCTCCTTTTTACAGTGGATGTCACCTGACTAGGTGGGTCATTGGTCTAAGCCAGGGGGGGTGACATGTACCTGCCTTGCATGGGCCAGTAGGCCTGCTGCAGTGTTCCTTCTTTCTTATGTTCTTATGTATTCAGCAGGCTGGCAGGTTAACTTTGGCTCTGTCTGTATCTCTGTCTGTCTCTCTCACATGCACACATAAGCACAGTTATTATACATAGTGTGAATTACCTAGGATAACCCAAAAATTCCAGCAAAGATAGACAGACTGATAGACAGATAGACAGACAGATAAATATGTTTGTGTGTATCAGTGAAAAGAATTAAAGCCAGGGTTCCCCAAGCGCCCATTTATCAAATGTCATTGAGCTGTCAACAGTTGTCGTAACACCATTCTTCAAGGAATTTGATAAACGTATACTCGAGGCAGGCGGAAAGGCAGATAGACACAGACAGACAGATAAACAAACAGATAAACAGACACATAGACAGAGAGACATGACATGTTTATGTGTAACAGTGATAACAAATACAGCAAAGGTTAGCTGCAGCAGTGGGCATTTATCAAATGTCACTGGACTGTCAACAGTACAGGGATGCCTTTCATAACACCATGCTTCAAGGTATATGCCAGGGTATCTAAAACATTGCTGGGACCTATAAATACTTTGTATATATTTCTATACAATAGTAAATAACCCAGGCATGTGTAAATGTTCACCTGTCAATGTGATCGTGACTATTTGAGTACTGTTTCAGTACTTAATATTAGTGTCAGAACAAAGACTGGGTATGAAATTACATGGACTATTGTAAATTGTAATTATTTTTTTTTTTTTTATTATCACACTGGCGGCCGATTCCCACCAAGGCAGGGTGGCCCGAAAAAGAAAAACTTTCACCATCATTCACTCCATCACTGTCTTGCCAGAAGTGTGCTTTACACTACAGTTTTTAAACTGCAACATTAACACCCCTCCTTCAGAGTGCAGGCACTGTACTTCCCATCTCCAGGACTCAAGTCCAGCCTGCCGGTTTCCCTGAACCCCTTCATAAATGTTACTTTGTTCACACTCCAACAGCATGTCAAGTATTAAAAACCATTTGTCTCCATTCACTCCTCTCAAACACGCTCACGCATGCCTGCTGGAAGTCCAAGCCCCTCGCACACAAAACCTTTAACCCCCTCCCTCCAACCTTTCCTAGGCCGACCCCTACCCCGCCTTCCTTCCACTACAGACTGATACACTCTTGAAGTCATTCTGTTTCCTCTCCATTCTCTCTACATGTCCGAACCACCTCAACAACCCTTCCTCAGCCCTCTGGACAACAGTTTTGGTAATCCCGCACCTCCTCCTAACTTCCAAACTACGAATTCTCTGCATTATATTCACACCCACACATTGCTCTCAGACATGACATCTCCACTGCCTCCAGCCTTCTCCTCGCTGCAACATTCATCACCCATGCTTCACACCCATATAAGAGCGTTGGTAAAACTATACTCTCATACATTCCCCTCTTTGCCTCCAAGGACAAAGTTCTTTGTCTCCACAGACTCCTAAGTGCAACCACTCACCCTTTTCCCCCTCATCAATTCTATGATTCACCTCATCTTTCATAGACCCATCCGCTGACACGTCCACTCCCAAATATCTGAATACATTCACCTCCTCCATACTCTCTCCCTCCAATCTGATATCCAATCTTTCATCACCTAATCTTTTTGTTATCCTCATAACCTTACTCTTTCCTGTATTCACTTTCAATTTTCTTCTTTGCACACCCTACCAATTCATCCACCAATCTCTGCAACTTCTCTTCAGAATCTCCAAGAGCACAGTGTCATCAGCAAAGAGCAACTGTGACAACTCACACTTTGTGTGATTCTTTATCTTTTAACTCCACGCCTCTTGCCAAGACCCTCGCATTTACTTCTCTTACAACCCCATCTATAAATATATTAAACAACCACGGTGACATCACACATCCTTGTCTAAGGCCTACTTTTACTGGGAAATAATTTCCCTCTTTTCCCACATACTCTAACTTGAGCCTCACTATCCTCGTAAAAACTCTTCACTGCTTTTAGTAACCTACCTCCTAAACCATACACCTGCAACATCTGCCACATTGCCCCCCTATCCACCCTGTCATACGCCTTTTCCAAATCCATAAATGCCACAAAGACCTCTTTAGCCTTATCTAAATACTGTTCACTTATATGTTTCACTGTAAACACCTGGTCCACACACCCCCTACCTTTCCTAAAGCCTCCTTGTTCATCTGCTATCCTATTCTCCGTCTTACTCTTAATTCTTTCAATAATAACTCTTCCATACACTTTGCCAGGTATACTCAACAGACTTATCCTCCTATAATTTTTGCACTCTCTTTTATCCCCTTTGCCTTTATACAAAGGAACTATGCATGCTCTTTGCCAATCCCTAGGTACCTTACCCTCTTCCATACATTTATTAAATAATTGCACCAACCACTCCAAAACTATATCCCCACCTGCTTTTTAACATTTCTATCTTTATCCCATCAATCCCGGCTGCCTTACCCCCTTTCATTTTACCTACTGCCTCACGAACTTCCCCCACACTCACAACTGGCTCTTCCTCACATCCTGCAAGATGTTGTTCCCTCTTGCCCTATACACGAAATCACAGCTTCCCTATCTTCATCAACATTTAAAAATTCCTCAAAATATTCCCTCCATCTTCCCAATACCTCTAACTCTCCATTTAATAACTCCTCTCTCTCTCCTATTTTTAACTGACAAATCCATTTGTTCTCTGGGCTTTTTTAATTTTTTAATTCCACCCAAAACTTTTTTTTAGAACAAAATTTGTTGTAACACCACCCACCTCTTTTTCCCTTTTTAATTGTTAATCAAAAACCCCCTTTTTCCCATATACTTTCCCTTTTCCTTTCGTCACCATTTTTAAAAACTTCTCATATCCAAATTTTTTTTACTATCTCTAAAAAATTAAATGGCCCCTTTTTTCCCTAATTTTTGGTAAAAAACCTGCTAACCCTTAACCTACTTTTTAAAAATACCCCAACCTCCTTCCCCCCTTCCTATCCCTTTATTCCCATCTTCCTAATATGTTTAAAACTTTCCCCAAGGGTTCTTTAGTTTTAAAATTCAACCCCCCCCCTTTGATGCTTTTTTTTCCCTTGTACCCCTTTATTTTACCTAGTGAGTCAAAAAAGTGACTGAATACTGTGGCCCCTATAAAATTTTTACATCCTAAATCTCTCAAAGTTTTTTTTTACCAATACAAACCAACAAACCCATGCCCCCCAAAAACGTTACCTCCGAATGCGACCAATTTTATTAAGGGGTTTTTAAGTAAGTGCGTTTGTACTGTATTTTGGGGTCTGAAATGGACTAATCTACTTCAAAATATTCCTTTTTAAATAAATTCGGTCAGTACTGGCACCTAAACTACTTATGGAGTAAAAAATATCTTTAACCCCCGGGGGTCCACTGACTGTCTTTTCGCCCTACATCATACTTGTATACTTATTATCCTCTTTTTTTAAAAATATGTAAACCTTCTAAACCCCTTTTTTAAAACAAAGTTAAATCAAAGGGCTCCCATTTCATTTACCCCGGGCCCCCCCAAACTTACCTACCACACCCTCCAAAAGCCCCCTTTTTTAGCATTCAGATCCCCTACCACAATTACTCTCCACTTGGTTAAAAGGGCTCCTATACATTCACTTAACATCCCCAAAATCCCCTCTCTCCCCCTCTGCATTCCTCTCTTCTCCAGGTGCATCACGCTTATTTTGACCCATTTTCTCGCACCAACCTTACTTTAATCCACATAATTCTTGAATTTGCACTTTCATTTTCTCTTTCTCCTTCCTAACTGATCATTCAACATTATGCTACCCCTTTTTTTCTCTAACTCTCTCGATACTCCATTTTTAAAACCCATTTATTTCCCCCCCCGAAACTCCCCTACCCCCCTTCAGCTTTTTTCCTTAGGGCGAGGACACCAACTTTTTTCATTAAAAACACAAAATTTATCAGAAAATAAAAAATAC